GTGAGGTCAGGTGAGGTCATGTGAGTTCAGGTGAGGTCATGTGAGGTCATGTGAGCCGAGCTCTGGACCTGATTCTTTACTCTTCAGTTTCCTGTTGTCAGGGTGAACGTCAGGTTCTGTTCATGTTCTCTGTTTGGACAGAAAATCTACTTGGCAAAGAATAGTTAATAAAAGTAAAGTTAATAAAATTGACGTTTATAAAAGTGAAGTTAATAAAAGTATAGTTAATAAAAGTTTATACAATATAGGACTGAATTCATTCATTTTCCTCTCTCCTCCTCCTCTCTCCTCTCTCCTCCTCCTCCTCTCTCCTCCTCTCTCCTCATCCTCCTCTCTCCTCAGCTTTGACACCTGCAGGAGTAACGCGTCCATGGAGCCGCCGATCTTTTTCAGGCCACACAACAAGCCCGAGTAAGTGAACGTCAGTCCTAATGTGAGCACACGTAGAAATCACATCGGTACGTACGAAGGAGGAAATGTTTGTCTCAGCTGAGCACAGAGACACAGAGAGAGGACGAGGAGGACATTCAGTTCTGTGTTGAGATGTTTGACGTCTTGAACATTTCTCTCTCAGGTCTTCTCCGTCTCTCTGCACCTCCGTGAACGGGCCTGAAAGCGGCTACGCGTCAGCGAGGAGCAACAGCTCCATGGAGCCACCGATCTTTTTCAGGCAGTGCAATAAAACCAGGTGTCTGTCGGAGGAGAGTGACCACAAACGTCCACGGTAACGTTCACACGTCACGTTTCCTCGTTTAAATCCTTCACCTCCTCAACAGGAGGGTGGAAGGTCCCTGTGGCCTCACTGTTGTGGATGCAGGACCACAGGAGGGACTGAAGCTGCTCTGCACAGACATGATGTCAGCTAATTCTCCATGATTCCACAGAGTCCACCAGGAGAGCTCAGACGTTCGCAGTGACCGGTCCGCCCAGGAGCACGACACACATCTGGAGGCCGTGCTAATGGTTCTCCTGCCGCTCCGCAACACACTGCAGCTTTCAGACCGCCGGTTCTGTCACTCTGATCTGATGGTGAGCTGCTTCTCCTCCAGGCGCTGCAGGACAACATGTTCGCTTTTGTGAAGGACGAGCTGAAGAAGTACCACAGGGTCCTGAGTCCAGATTACCCAGAATGCTTCGACAGTCTGGGGGAGCTCGAGGAGGTGTTGGACGGCGAGGCTGAGGAGCAGAGGAGCAGCAAGGAGGCGTTTCTGAAGATCGCAATGAGCTTCCTGAGGAAGATGAAGCAGGACAATCTGGCCGAGTGTCTGCAGAGAGGTAGGAGGATTTCAACCCGACGACAACATCACTTTGTTTCCGAAATAACTCGTTGATAGTTTCTCTTTCTCTGATTCAGGATCTCGTGCTCCACTTTGTCAAAGCAAACTGAAATCCAAGCTGACGAAGAAGTTCCAGTGTGTGTTCGAGGGCATCGCCAAAGCAGGAAACCCGACGCTCCTGAGCCAGATCTACACCGACCTCTACATCACAGAGGGAGGCGGCGGAGAGGTCAATGACGAGCATGAGGTCAGACAGATTGAAACAGCTTCCAGGAAACTCAGCAGAGAGGAAACCACCATCAGACAAGAGGACATCTTCAGAGCCTCACCTGGAAGAGACGAACCAATCAGAACGGTGATGACAAAGGGAGTGGCTGGCATCGGGAAGACCGTCCTCACGCAGAAGTTCACTCTGGACTGGGCCGAAGACAAAGCCAACCGGGACGTAACGTTCATGTTTCCGTTTACGTTCCGAGAGCTGAATTTGCTGAGGGAGAAGAAGTACAGCTTGGTGGAGCTCGTCCACGACTTCTTCACCGAAACCAAAGAAGCAGGAATCCGGCGGTTTGAAGAGTTCCAGGTCGTCTTCATCTTCGACGGTCTGGACGAGTGTCGACTTCCTCTGGACTTCGGCAACACCGAGATCCTGACCGACGTTACGGAGTCCAGCTCGGTGGACGTGCTGCTGACAAACCTCATCAGGGGGAAACTGCTGCCCTCCGCTCGCCTCTGGATAACCACACGACCTGCAGCAGCCAATCAGATCCCTCCTGAGTGCGTGGACCGGGTGACRGAGGTCAGRGGCTTCACTGACCCACAGAAGGAGGAGTACTTCAGGAAGAGGTTCAGAGATGAAGAACAGGCCAACRCSATCATCTCTCACATCCAGASRTCACGAAGCCTCCACATCATGTGCCACATCCCAGTCTTCTGCTGGATCACTGCTACAGTTCTGGAGGACGTGTTGAAGACCAGAGAGGGAGGAGAGCTGCCCAACACCCTGACGGAGATGTACATCCACTTCCTGGTGGTCCAGTCCAAACTGAAGAAGCTCAAGTACGACAGAGGAGCTGAGGCAGATCCCCTCTGGAGTCCAGACAGCAGGAGGATGATCGAGTCTCTGGGAAAACTGGCGTTTGAGCAGCTGCGTAAAGGAAACCTGATCTTCTACGAATCCGACCTGACGGAGTGCGGCATCGATATCAGAGCCGCCTCAGTTTACTCAGGAGTGTTCACACAGGTCTTTAAAGAGGAGCGAGGCCTGCACCAGGACAAGGTGTTCTGCTTCGTCCATCTGAGCGTTCAGGAGTTTCTGGCTGCTCTTCACGTCCACCTGACCTTCATCAACTCTGGAGTCAATCTGATGTCAGGCCAACAAACAACCTCCCTGACGTCTGACGCTGGAAAAACTGAATCTGACATGAACAACTTCTACCAGAGCGCTGCTGACGAGGCCTTACTGAGTCCAAACGGACACCTGGACCTGTTCCTCCGCTTCCTCCTGGGTCTTTCCCTGCAGACCAATCAGAGTCTCCTACGAGGCGTGCTGACGCAGACAGGAAGCGGCTCGTGGACCAAACAGGAAACGGTCGAGTACATCAAGAAAAAGATCGAGGAGACGACCTCCGCAGAGCAAAGCATCAACCTGTTCCACTGCCTAAACGAACTGAACGACCGCTCTCTGGTGGACGAGATCCAGCGTCACCTGAGGTCAGGAAGTCTGTCCGCGGGTCGGCTGTCTCCCGCTCAGTGGTCCGCTCTGGCCTTTATCTTACTGTCGTCAGCCAAAAACCTGGACGTGTTTGACCTGAAGAAATACTCTGCGTCAGAGGAGCCTCTCGCTCGGCTGCTGCCGGTGATCAAAGTCTCGCACAAAGCTCTGTAAGTGTTGATGTCTTCATCAGTCAGGGACGAGGGGGGGGGGGGGGGGGGGGGAAATACTGTCTTAATGCGTTGTTGATTTGTCCAGACTGAGCGGCTGTAACCTGTCGGAGAGGAGCTGTGAAGCTCTGTCGTCCGTCCTCAGCTCCAAGACCTGCAGACTGAGAGATCTGGACCTGAGCAACAACGACCTGCAGGACTCAGGACTGGAGCTGCTGTCCGTCGGACTGAAGAGTCCACACTGTCCTCTGGAATTTCTCAGGTCAGACCAGGTCATAGGTTCTCTTCAGTTTCATCAGAAATAAAACGTGTGTCCCGTCCCTGAAGGCTGGAGACCGAACCGAGATGTTTGCTCCTGTGTTCGTCTTTTAATCCAGATCAACTCTAAAGGTGGTGACAGTCCAACACACACGTTGTTTGTCCTCTTCTTTGTTGTCGTCTCCAGACTGAGCGGCTGTAACCTGTCGGAGAGGAGCTGTGAAGCTCTGTCGTCCGTCCTCAGCTCACAGTCCTGCAGCCTGAGAGATCTGGACCTGAGCAACAACAACCTGCAGGACTCAGGACTGGAGCTGCTGAAGAGTCCACACTGCTCTCTGGAAATTCTCAGGTCAGGATTCTTCACCCGGTTTAACGGACGATCTTTACGAATTTCTAAAAACATTTAGCGTTATTTGGTTCCACCTCTCTCCCATTCTTCGTGTTCGTCTCAGATATTCTCGCTTTATCTCTGGAAGAAGTGGAGACGTGTCCTCGTCTTTATTTAGTCTATGGTCAATAAATCACAGAATAATGAAATAACCACGCTGCTCTCGCTCTTCTCTTCAGGGTGGAGCCTGATGGCGTCCGATGGTTCAGAACTGGTCTGAAGAAGTGTAAGTGTCGCTCACTCAGATCACGATGCCACGGGTCAGTGCGACGGATCATTAACTGCACATCGTCTCATTCTCTCCCTCAGATTTCTGTGAACTCACATTCGACCCAGACTCAATGAACAAAAACCTCCAACTGTCCAACGACGACAGGACGGTGACGTACGAGGACGAGATCCAGAAGTATCCCGACCATCCGGACAGGTTTGACGAGCGCCCTCAGCTGCTGTGCAGAAACGGTCTGAGTGGGCGCTGCTACTGGGAGGTCGACTGGAACGGGGTACTCAACATATCAGTGAGTTACAGAGGAATCTCACGGAGAGGAGACAACGAAATCGGTTGCTGGTTTGGAAGGAACGCTCAGTCCTGGGGTCTCTACTGCGCTGATGCTCACGGTTTCTCCATCACGCACAACGAACAGCCGATCTGCTCCCACGGTCATTTCATCGCTTATCACAATAACGACCCAACCATTTGCTCCACCGTCTCCGCCAAAGACTCCAACAGAGCAGCAGTGTACGTGGACGTTCCTGCCGGCACGCTGTCTTTCTTTGTCGTCTCCGGGGACACGCTGGTCCACCTGCACACCTTCAACACCACATTCACCGACACTCTTTATCCTGGGTTTGGGTTCTGGGAGTACAGCGGCTCCTCGGTCTCTCTGACTGCAGAGTAGCACGCACGTTTTCACATTAACCCTCGAGTCGCAGGTCACGCCTGGGAGAACACGTGTTTCAAGACACGGTGGCATTAAGCAAAGTTTGAAGTAAAACCAGCTGCTCTTTTCAAATGAGTTTGAAATGTTACGAATCTTTAAAAACTGTTTATATCTTCATTTTACTGTCACACAGAAACATGCAGCTTTGTTTGATATCAGTTCATTTCTGTCTGTTACTCACATTCAATGTTAAAAGCATTTAAGATACTTACAACCTTTACCACTGCTACAGCATAAAGTGTATTTTGTATTTTCTAATTTCTAATTAAAACCTCTGTTCAACTCAAACTGTCTTGTCTCATCTGTAGAGTCCAGACTTCACTCGTGGTCTCTATTCTAACAACACTGAGTAATTCATGTGTTTAACCTGAATTTAATTTGAAGCAGAGCGTAGCTGGGTTTGTTGTTAGCATAGCATATGCTATAATGATAACAACCTTATTTCTACTTTTCAAAATCTAAGTACCAAGTGTTTCACAAGGACAAAATACAACCGGTCCTGGAATCATGAGTGCAGCAAACAATGAATCACTAATATGAAGAGAACATTCATTTAAAAGCATTTTGAACAACCTGAGCCCTGATCAGTGCTTCACTCACCTCCTCCTCCTCCTCCTCATCTTCATCACCGCTCCACCTGCTCCTCACCTGTCCGTCACAGAAACATGTCCCCATCGTCCTAATCACAGCTGCTTTAGTTCCACTTTAACAGTAACAGCGGTGTACAAACTGAAGTACAAAGAATAAAAAATGTACTTGAGCACAAGTAAAAGTGAGTAAGTACTCGATTTAAAATATACTTCTACACAGATACTTGACAAAAGTAAAATAAAGTTCATATTTAAAGAAACGTCCTCCTTGAAAACATTGAAAACGACCGAGAGGAATAAAAAAGAAAACGCACTTTGACCATGTTTGACTTAAGATTTATGGAAAAAGGAAATGACATCATTACACAGTTCAGGTATAATTTGGTTTGATAAAACAACACAGGTGAAGAATTAGGTTACTCATCTACTGAATCACGAGAACAGCAACGCGAATATTTCATATATTAACCACATTTGTTTGCTTTTCATTACTGTGCGAAATAAAATATACAAATCTAGTGAATGTGTGAGAAGAACGAGTTCCGCAGCGACACGGACGTTCCTATAAACTCTCCTCTTTTCCTATGAATTCAAAATAAAAACACGTATGAACAATTAACAGTGAGACACGTGACCCTGGTATGTGCCAACAACTCGGACAGATGCTCGTCTTTAACTCAGCTGCTTCATACATGAACGTATGAACTCAAACACGCATGTTATTAAAACGGTCAATATCATATCAGAGGACCACTGCTGTGCAATAATAATTCAAATCAGTAATTATTTAGAAAAGACTTTCATTGACAAGAACGTGTTAAACACAGAACAATAATGAAATAGCTTTTAATGTGGTGGCTTTAATGAATTTAATTTAATTGTCCTTCCTCAGACTGTAAATAAAGACGGACGACGCGTCTCTACTTCCTTCCACTGTCCCGAAATGAAGCCAAAACATCCTGGGTTGGAGCGACGCCATCTTGTGGTGGTGACGCCATTCGGAGTCATCAAATAACTTATTCAAGCACTTAAACAAAGTGTGATAAGAACTACCTAAATAAAGAAACATCTATTTAACGTGTACTTTGACTGTTTAGTTGGAGGGTTGATGACCCATACTACAGCCAGCCACCAGGGGGCAACAGAGATGCTTTGGCTTCACTTTCATGTCGGCCATCTTTATTTACAGTCTCTGGTTTCGTCCGGTTACGTGAGACAGCGCCTCCTGTTGACCAGGCTTCACCACAAATCGACCAATCAGGAAGTCGGAGAGCTTTAAAAACGTTAAGCAGCCAGGCTCTGTGTCGTAGCTCCACTTTTTTCTTTTTCCACAACATTGCGTCACAACAGAACGAATCACAGGAGGCAGAGAATCGACTGAATTAATTACCTCGGAGAACACACACACACACACGCACACACACGCACTCGTCCGACAAGTTTCATTCCAAAGTCCTGAAACAGTTTCCAGCGAATGTGTACCGCTTCATAAGAAGGAGAACTTTCTGTCAGCACTGTGAGAAATTCAAGTTTTGTTTGTGGCTTTTAAAAACAGAACTTTTTAAAAAACGACCCGACGCCGCTGGGTTCAGATCCTGGTCCTCTCGTCTCACAGCTGGAGGGATACGTTTGCGTCTCGGCCGTCCACGGAGTCCAGCGTCTGCAGTCGTCTTCTTTAAAAATATCGGGGTTTTTTTTTATCCTATGCGTCAAAATGTATTTTTCTTCCTGTTTAAAGAAATCATTGATTTTATAGAAAAATAGTAATAATTATTATCATTCAATGCTTCAACTGGGGTTCGTATAGAAATCTGCAGTGAAGGGAGGGTCATTGTTTCCCAAGCTCGAGCATCACATGATGACGTGAGGAAGTGTTTTTAAAGGACAAACACAGTCCAATCGTAAAACTTTCCCATGATCCCTTTCCTCTCGCCTCCTGCTTCGAGCTTCACGATCAGGTTCAGTGGAGAAACGTCCTCCAACATTTATTCCTTCATCACGTTCGTCCGTTCACACGAGAGCTGGTTCACGACGACGAGGGAAAGTGAAGTTACAGGGTGATCTTCAGGCAGTTTTCCGTTTGGCCAGAAGGTGGCAGTGATGACTGATATATTCAGGGGAACGCCCCCCCCCCCCCAAGGTTTCAGGAGCTGGTTGGCGGTGATTTGCGGCTGTGCTCGGAGAAGAGGAGGTCAACGCTAACGCTGTTAGCTCGCCGTGCCTTGGTGCTTGAGGACCGTGTAGACGCTGTCCACTTTGCTCAGCCTCTCGAAGAACGGGATGAGGTCCAGCAGCTCGGTGTCGGACATGTCGTCGAACCATGACGCCACAGGCACCTGGACGGAAACGATAATATTCATCCCTCACCTCTCTCCACTTTGATCCATCATTTTATATTTTGTGACTTTCTGCATTTTCCCTCCAATAAACAAACAAAAGAAATAAACTGGGATGGATCAAAATGTTCTCACACTGAATGTGTGTGATCTGAAATTTAATTCACACTTTAAACCAGATTAAAAAATATTCTACTTCATTTACTGTAAAAAAAAACCATGATGTTGTTTATTCGCCCTCTGCGTTCGTGGTGGTGACCGGGTACTCACTGCGTTGTCGGGGTGGAAGACGTAGGAAGCGGGGGAGTTGTCCACAATGATGACCTTGTTCAGGTCGCGACCCAAGCGACTCAGATCCTTCACGTAGTTTCCTCTGTGGAAAACACAGGACTCTCTGAAGAGGCGACAGCGGAAGGCGCCCCACTTGTCCAGGAGGTCAGAAACAGGGTCTGCGTACTGCGGAGACAAATCTACATTCAGCTCAGACGTAACGACTCTACTGATGTCAAACATTATGAGACCTCCTCCAACATGTTCACTGGGGTTACCTTGGCTAAACTGGCGGTGAACAGGACGCACTCGAACAGCTCTCCCATCCTTTTGAGGAACTCGTCAACGTGTGGTCGCTTCAGGACGTACACCTGAAACACACAGCAGGCTTCAAACCAGCATCCTGCACAGCCTGCCTTTCAAAATAAAACATGTTCCGACACATCTGGACCCGTTCAACTGATGTTTGATAAGAKCATGTACAAAAGGGGTGGTTTACTCTGTTGTATGGAACCTGTCAAACTTTTCAAACAAACTCAACACAAAGACACAAACATTTGGCTCCAATGGTGAACTCCGTCTCTTTGCTTCTCTTGAACGTCCTCCGTGTCTTTTCTTTCTTCAGAGTCGGCGTCTGAGGGCAGCGTTCCTGACCCAAGTCATCCAGAATAGGCTGTGCTTGTCTGAACAAACCTATCCTGGATTACTTGAACCAGGCCCAGACCCGAGGCCACGTCTTCAAACCCCGGAAACGCCGACAGAACCTCACACACTCGATTCAAACTATGCGGCCACAAGGAGGCGCTGTCTAGGTGACATTCCGAACATTTGTGCCGTAGGTTCATCTGGTGGGGTGTGATGACCTGAAGTTACCTGGTGCACGGTTCCTTCTATATCCACAGGAATGATGAAATCTGCGTTGTTCACAGGCTGAAGGACAGAAAGAGATGATTTAACAACTGTGGGTTTATCAGATGAGGGTCTGTGTGTGTGTGTGTTTCCACTGTTTATTTTAGGAACCAGCTAGTTTAGATTTGGCATCTGCCAGCGGTGACAGAAACCTCAGAGCCGCTAACACTGACCAGCGTTTCTTCAGATTAAACACAAGCGATCTCAGGTTCCTACCTTAAAGGAGCTGTGGACTAACGTCTCGTCCAGATCTATGACCACACAGATCTTTCCAGAGTCTTTTGATTTCACCGGCGGCAGCAGCGGCTTCACCTGGTTTTAAAGATAAAGCAAAACAAATCCAAAGTGTGTCCAGACTCGTGTGAGAAGATGTTGAAGCAGCGTTGGAACTTCTTTCTTTGCACTGTTAAAATGAAGGTCATGAGAGAATTGGAGGTCAACTCACCTTGGAGACGGTGCCGTTCTCCTCCACCAGCAGGGGGGCGTTGTTGTTGACTGGGGGGGGTTGGGGCTGGTCCCGACAGAGGCAGCAGAACAGGCTGGAGAAGAGGCCTCCGCTCCTCGGCTTCTTGGTGGAGAGAGACGGAGAAGAACCTGCAGAGGAGGAGGAGGAGGAGGAGATCATTGGTGACATAATAATTACTCGCTATATTTTAATCAAATCTATAGGGCAGTTAAATTATCCTCCAAAGTAAAATAAAACTTGAAAAATAAAACAAGGCAAAATAAGAGGGAGGGCAGTGTTGTTCTGTTTTTAAATTCAAAAACAGAATTCAATAAATCTCATTTGTTGATTTTATATTCGATATGTAAATATTTAACCGACACTGGATTCATTCATAGGTTTTTTATTTCTCCGTCAAAGGACTGAGCTACACAACTGAAGTTAAATTTATTAACTTAAAGATAAGTTACGGAGAAAAACTTTAGTTCTTTTCTCTCGATCGCAGAAATGATTCCTGTTCTCGTCCTCCGAGTCCTGTAAACTTCTGATTAACACACGCTTTGTTCCTGTCTCTTTATTCTCCGTCCTCCCTCTCTCCGTCTATCCGGACGTGACCGTTTTACCAACACACAAACCCCCTGTTGTCCATCTCTCGCGCCTCTTTTCATTCGCTCACTGACGTTCCCTCCTACTCTCATTTGTGGATTCAAACCCCGCCTGACCCTCCACTGGCCTCTGCCGCGTTCGGGCCAAAAACAGGAAGAGGAAACAGACGGGTATCAGCGGAGGAAGCTCTTCATCATGTTGTAGCGTAACAGGGGTAAACATGTGATGTCCAGGTATCTTCTTCGTCGAGGTTTCAAGCTACGTCTCCGGTTCTTTAGATTATTTAATCCCAGATAAAACATCCTATTCTGACGTAACTTCCTCGTTTACTATTTCACTCCCTGGTTCCCTCTCATGTTTCCTTGTAATCTCCGGCCTTCGCTCTCAAAACACAAACTAATGTGACTCTTTAGATCTGTTGAGACAGAGCAAAGGCGAGTTCCTCGAAAATGTGATTAATGAGAAGAAGCATTGATGATATAGTTAAATACTCTAATGTACTTAATGTACTCACATTATCTGGTTGTCTTGTTTTAAATTAGCTTTATAAATATTCTTCATAGCTCAATGGAAACATCTTATTTATTATTCAGTCTCCTGCTCAGATTCTCAAACTAGTTCTGTGGAACCGCTGTAATAATCAACCTGCTTGTTTTTACACCAGTTCAGATTGTGATTAACGATGTGTGATTAACGATGTGTGATTAACGATGTGTGATTAACGATGTGTGATTAACGATGTGTGATTAACGTAGGGACACCAGAAGTAAACTGTCGTAGGAAGATGGTGGATCATAAGTGCAGCCCGTCACCACAGGGTTTCTACTCATGTCACTATTGTCCAAAGTTCACATCTCTTACAGTCTTTAATTCTACATTTTAAGGATATGAAATCATACAAAACCTGGAATCTTCTAAACGCAACCCGTCATAACAGTGGAACCACGACGGAGAGTTTAGTTTTTCATTTAACGAAGCAGACAAACTTGGGTTTTCCTGTCAGGACTTCGTCAGGCAGGACAGAGTAAATATTTTCCACTGTCGGAGGCAGCGGTCGTGTGTCCCTGTGAATAAACATGTGTCAGGACACGGTTACGTAATAGATCAGGCTATTACACTTTTACAAGAACGCTGCTGTTGACGTCTGAGTGAGCGGTCAGCTGCTCAAGCTCTTATTCTTCAATGTAAAACATGAACAACTGAATCTCTGCTGGAATAAACTCTTATTTGAGTTATATGAGACAGGAAGCGATTGCCTGTTAGCAGCGTTTCTCAGGGACGGAGACTGACAAGGTCTCCTGATTATTCAGTAACTTACGCACACAGTGAAGGTATGTGACTGGTTAATGTGCAGGGATCCACGCTGATAAAGTCAGAGTTTCACACAGGAAATCTGAATCTCACAGGACGATCACTGAGTTGAAATGAGAGAAACAGCATTTATACTAAAATAAACTGAGTTAGAGCTGGTGCGAGAGGATTCAAGTTGAAGCTATTGAATATGTCTCTGTAGATATTTAATTAAATATGACGATGCATATTTATCTGAGTATTACACTCAAACCGACAGGAGGGTTGGGTGCTGATGTCGATAAAGATATTTCAGCCATTTGAATAAATATATTTAAAAAATGAATGAGTCAATGAGATGTCCTTATCAAATGTATGTAAATGAGGTTTGATGTTTTACAGTTTAACCATAAATGTTCTTATAAATAATTGTGAATAAAAACACAAATACAACCAAATATATCGAACTGGAATTAAGAAAATGAACCAAAAGCCAATCACAACATTAACTCACATCCTGAAGAGTTTATTCTGTAAAATATGTTTCTGCAGAAACTGACATGTCTGTGAAAGACATTTGTTTTCTACTATGAAAGAATGAGACCATAATAATACTGAAGTGTTTCAAGTGGTGTCGAGACGTTGTTGTGGTTTTATTTAGAGACTGTAAGTGTGAACACGAAGCACTTGTGAGTCATTTCCTCTACTTTCATCACAGCCACGGATCCAAACAGAGGAACCGACTGTGTTGTGGTGTAAAGTCTGTAAAGTTCACTGTGTTGTGGTGTAAAGTCTGTAAAGTTCACTGTGTTGTGGTGTAAAGT